TAATGTACATAGCATACACATTTAGATGTAAAATATGTTTAAGCTTTGAGAGCTTAAAACTCAAAACACAATTTGTCGACTTAGAATGTTTTATAATAGCTCTTCTAGAATTTAATTTCTAGTTTTCATTATAATATAAATTCTATTTTTACTGAATTCCAAGTTTAATTTCCTTTTTTCACTGTAAAATAAAAAAAATATATATATAAAATCTTTATTTTTTTTTAATTTTTCAAAAATCGTCGGTTTCAAGGAAAAAATTGTCAAATCGTCACTTTGCTATTTTTGAAACAAAGAATCGTCAAAATGACGATAAATCGTCAAATCTGGCAGCTATGCCGATGTCGGGCTTAGATTATTGCCTTTAAGAGCTTTGTGATTATTTATTCCACTTTTACATTGAGACTTTTTCTCAGGGGTGAGCACACAAGCAAAGTAAATTAATAAAGTAGCGACACGAGTTGTTGTACAACAAACGTCTACAAAAACCACAGGCAATTTGTTTTTGTTCGAAATACTCACTTGTCAAAATTTGTTTACAAAAATGAACCAATAATTAATGGAAAATATGGCATTATTGTTGTACTTTCCAAAAATATGTTGCTATTTAACATTTTTGACAAGTAAGTCCACAAATAGCAAGTTTAAAAAAAATAGTCAGCTGTTCAAATGAGTCTACTTTATAAATTTACTTTGCACGCAAGCGTGTCGAGTTTGTAGGCAAAGGGGGTAAAGAAGAAAGGGAAGTAGCAAGACACGCACGAATCGTAATTTGAGGGGTTTTTTCGACATTGCTTTTCCTTCATGTTCGTGATTTTGCTAGTTGCTTTATTTCTATTCTGCTCTCACAGCGTAAAGATCGTGTGCGACTACTCTCACACATGAATTAGTGTTGCCATTTGCAATAATTTAATTTTTTACATATTTCAATTAATTTCAAAATAATTTATTTTTTCAAATGTTATGAGTAAAATGTTATTATATCTTTAATAAAAAATAAATAACTATAAGAAGAACTAAAACATACAGCTAATAGTAGCAAAAATATGTATTTTAAAGTATTTTAGTATTTTTTTATATAAATATTTACTTAAATTATTAAAACAATATTTAATATAACAAATATTAAAGAAATATATTTATTCATTTTTAAAATATCTACAAAAATAAATTAAGAATTATAAATAATGGCAACTCTTACACTCATAATTTCAAAATCAGGCATGCCATTCCAGCAAGATAAAAATTTCATTCTTTATATTTTAAATATATTCCGTCCTGAAAAATTAACTAAGCCATAAATTATGAAATTAAATTTGATTTTCGTAGAAAAGGAGTGAAAAATTTAATCATGTTTTTGTGAACACTATTGTAACCCTACTGATATATGGAAATAGAAACGACCTTATTTTGCGGTAAAAAATAATTTTTCATTATTATAATTCTCAATAATTATCCATTAAAATTGTATGTTTTGTATCTTAAATAAAAGGTATTTAACACTACTTTCTTATCATATATAGAGTTTACAAGTTTTTTTGCTCCATCGTATTTTATTGGTATCTCAAATATTTAGCATTGGAAAAAATAATAGAAACGATTCATAGTATTACCCTGGAGACATAAGCTAAGATTTCTTAAGGCCCAAATAGACTACACATGCGGCTTGACAAACATACCAATATTTTACGTTTGCGCAAGCCTGTTGTGTAGTGTATAAGGGTGTTTCGTGTTTGTACAAATGCTTGCTGTTTGTTTGTACAAAAATTAAAAAATTTTTATATTGAATTCTTGTCAAACCATTTGTATGGTTTATATTCAATAATAACAAAATTTAGAAAAAAATTACATTTCTAAGAAAAATTTACATCTGTATCTTTGAAAGTCCACAAAAACGTGAAAAAATTGGTGTTTGTACGAGCAATGTTTTTGTAATGTGTGTGCGAATGAAAAAAGTATGTTTGATATGCCGCTTGTGTAGTCTATTTGGGCCTTTACATGGCGTTTTGTACTTATTTTTGTAAATGATATTCCCAGTATCAAAATATACTGTTTCCTCGGTTCTTTATGTTTATGTGTGTTTTTTTCAACGCCTGGTTGATCATATGAGCTCTGACGGCAGAATTGGGGCCACAACTTTCAAAATTTCACAAGTCCATCAATATACTTTGATATTGAATATATATATATATATATATATATATATATATATATATATATATATATATATATATATTATTATTATTATTATATATTACAATTTCTCACTGAGGTTTCTTCAACTGCGTTTTGTATTTATTTTTAAGAATTTTAATTATTAATGAAATTCTTAATATAAAAGTATACTTTTTACATTAATTTTTATGTAAACATTAGTTTTTCGAAGCTTGATTGACCATATGGATCCTGACAGCTGAATCAGAGGCCCGTCTTTCAAGTTTTCTTAAATAAAAAGTTCAGATAGTGAAAGAAATGACTTCTAATGAGAAGATTTCGAGAAGAAAAAGTGTTGAATCCACTTATAGATAACGACAATCCACCGTTTTTTGGACCAATTTTCGAGTAATACTTCGATATTTTGCAATTCGACCCGTTCTTGGTGGTTAAAAGGGGGTTTAAATATCAAAGTATATTGATGGACTTGAAAAAAACACACATAAACATAAAGAAGCGAGGAAATACTATATTTTGATACTGGGAATATCATTTACAAAAATAAGTACAAAACGCCATGTAAAGGCCCAAATAGACTACACAAGCGGCATATCAAACATACTTTTTTCATTCGCACACACATTACACAAACATTGCTCGTACAAACACCAATCTTTTCACGTTTCTGTGGACTTTCAAAGATACAGATGTCAATTTTTCTTAGAAATGTAATTTTTTTCTAAATTTTGTTATTATTGAATATAAACAATACAAATAGTTTGACAAGAATTCAATATGTTTGTGTAAAAATCAAAATTTTTTAATTTTTGTACAAACAAACAGCAAGCATTTGTACAAACACGAAACACCCTTATACACTACACAACAGGCTTGCGCAAACGTAAAATATTGGTATGTTTGTCAAGCCGCTTGTGTAGTCTATTTGGGCCTTAAGAAATCTTAGCTTATGTCTCCAGGGTAATACCATGAATCGTTTCTATTATTTTTTCCAATGCTAAATATTTGAGATACCAATAAAATACGATGGAGCAAAAAAACTTGTAAACTCTATATATGATAAGAAAGTAGTGTTAAATACCTTTTATTTAAGATAGAAAACATACAATTTTAACGGATAATTATTTAGAATTATAATAATGAAAAATTATTTTTTACCGCAAAATAAGGTCGTTTCTATTTCAATATATCAGTAGGGTTACAGTAGTGTTCACAAAAACATGATTAAATTTTTCACTCCTTTTCTACGAAAATCAAATTTAATTTCATAATTTATGGCTTAGTTAATTTTTCAGGACGGAATATATTTAAAATATAAAGAATGAAATTTTTATCTTGCTGGAATGGCATGCCTGATTTTGAAATTATGAGTGTAAGAGTTGCCATTATTTATAATTCTTAATTTATTTTTGTAGATATTTTATAAATTAATAAATATATTTCTTTAATATTTGTTATATTAAATATTGTTTTAATAATTGAAGTAAATATTTATATAAAAAAAAATATGAAAAAATACTAAAATACTTTAAAATACATATTTTTGCTACTATTAGCTGTATGTTTTAGTTCTTAGTTTAGTTCAATGGAGCAAAAAAAAGAACTCCATATATCATAGCAAAGTATACTTAAATACCTTTATTTAAGAAATCAGGAAATCAGGTAGTTTTTGAGAAAATTTAGTTTTCAGCACAAAATAAAGTCGTTTATGATGAATATATATATAATATAGATATAATATAATATATATATTAATATTATATATATATATATATATATTAATATATAATATATTAGTATATATATATATATATATATATCATATATATATATATATATATATATATATATCTATATATAAATATTGTCCGACAGGCCCGTCCCCCCCTCTAGAATTGTTCTTTGGGTTATAAAACTAAAATTTTAAAATTTTATATATATATATATATATATGTATAATATATATATATATATATATATATATATATATATATATATATATATATATATATATATATATATATATATATTTATATATATAATATTGTCCGACAGGCCGTCCCCCCTCTAGAATTCTTCTTTGGGTTGTAAAACTAAAATTTTAAAATTTTTAGGAGATCTCATGGGGATTTATGGACTATAGATAAATGAATAAAACGGTGAGAAAATTGGATCAATAATTCTTACAGTTTAGCTGTACCTGCGATTTGAACTCGGCGGATTTCGGGAAAATCGCATTTTTTTGTTAAATTTTTAAAGACTACGTATTAATTCTTTACTGTTGTACATTTTAAATAAAGAATTTTCAGAGTATTAAAGAGCAGATAATATAAAATATATACCCGAAGTTTTATTCAAATCGGACATTCTTAACCCATAAAATGTGGAGTTCAAAGGTCAAATTTTGCTATATTTGGGAATTCTCAGTGTACCATATCGAAATAATATTTATTTGTCAGCCATATTTACCAAAAATTAATGAAATTTATCGTATATAGTCCGACATTTAAAATTGAGTGAATAAAAGCTAAATTAACCCTTTGACACATTTGGGAACAATTCAACACCAAAGTTGAGAAATTCGAAAGAACACTATCTATTTGAATAATGCTCTATATAATTAGAGGAATGACAGAAATAAAACAAAAAATTATATATTAAGTCCAAATTTAAGCAAAAACAGAAAAATTTTTATTTTCCCCTTGTAAATGCACTTGGAAACTTGCGGCACCTGTTATCGTTATCCTATCCATATTTATAAATATATAATAAAACTTTATAAATTTCGTTAGCTGCAAAATTATTAAAAGATCTGTAAGTTTGCATTATTTTATTTAAAAAAAATTTATGTATATATTCATTTTATTTCAAATTTTAAAAAATTAAACAATATTGATTAATATTTTATATTTACACTATCTATATAATGTGATTAACTAAACAAATCTGTTCCGGAACGCTTTATATAACAAAGCCCATATGAGGTATTTGCCCGACCGGCTGTAGCTGTATTATACGTCATGACCAAATTTTGAAAATTACTCCACCATTTGTGATACAGATTCTCTCATTTGATATAAAAATTTGTCAAAAATTTTTATCTTTATTTTTCACAAAAAAAAAAAAAAAATAATTTTACATAATTGTGTACTGTATTTCTCTAAGCATATTTTACCTGCTCGTATATTTTTATTTTAATTATAGCATAAATATTTTGCTATTATTGTGCACAAGTATAATTACTATGAATGTACTAACGTATGTACCTACTGTATTTTTTGTTTGTAGACATTCTAAACGCAGCTGTTTGGTTAGAACAGAGTATAGAATTAAACAAGTAAGAAAGTATAGTCGGGCATGGCCGACCATATGATACCCTACACCAGTTATGAATATTAAATGTGATTTATTTTTCATAATATCGCATTTATCTTCAATATTCCCTTGTTCCGATACATTTAAGCAATTTATGGATGAAAAACTAATTTTCTGAAAGAGGCTTTATATGGGGGCTAGGGGCAAATATGGACCAAGCCCGATAAAATTTTCTGAATATATTTATATTTACATAATATTTTATTGTGCTGAATTTCATCGCGATATTTGTGTTTATAAGTTAATTTGGGACATTCAAGTAATTTTCTGAAGGGGACTTTGTATGGGAGCTAGGGTCAAATGGGGCCCGATCTTTATGAAATTTGGCAGGGTTATCAAGACTTCTATAAAACTTAGTTATGCCGTATTTTATCGATATATCTGTATATTTAACATAATTATGAGCTCAGAAGCCCTTTTCGGGGGGTTCTGTTCTATGGGGGCTAGGTGAAATAATGGACCGATTTTAACCATTTTCAATAGGCTTCGTCCTTGGGTCAAATAAAACGTGCGTGCCAAATTTCATCCAATTATCTTGAAAATTGCGACCTGTAGCTTGCGCACAAGGTTTACATGGACAGCCAGCCAGCCAGCCAGCCAGCCAGCCAGCCAGACGGACGGACGGACGGACATAGCTTAATCGACTCAGAAAACGATTCTAAGCCGATTGGTATACTTTAAGGTGGGTCTAGGACGAATATTTTTATATGTTACAAACATCAGCACAAATCCAATATACCCTCCCCACTAAAGTGGTGTAGGGTATAAAAAGCTAGAATAAGAAAGACCTAATAATAGATCATTCATGTATTCCATTCAATTGTGAAAAAATTGTTTTCTTGTAGTGTGACTTTGTTATTGCCTGTGCATTTTGTTTATTTCTATTCTTTGTTTTCTAAATAATGCGGCAGTATTATTCATATTATTAAAAACACACAGCCATATGTATGTATACGAAAATAAAAGAAACAAACAATATATATGTTTGTGTATGTATGTATGTATGTATGTATGTACGTTTTTGCGCGTCACGAGAACGTTAACATTAAATGAGTAAATAAAGAGTCAATATCGTTACAGTTGAATTTTGTTTGTAAATTTCTTTTGTTTTTTTAGAAATAACAAGAAAGTAAATGCAAGTTCTTGCATTTTATAAGCTGTAGAAGTTACATTTTGTCGACTTGTACATATACATATATGTATGTATATAATATGTAAGTATGTATTTGCATTAACAGCGAAACTGTACTTGGCCGCATTTTTAAGTTTTACTCTGGCAAATAATTATGTGAACACAGTGGTGGCCAGCAGTATGTGGACAGACATTTCACCTATCATTATGATCTTCGTTTGAAGTTTAGTTGAATATTAAACGATTTCATCTTTCCTAACTATTAACTACTACCGTATATAATATAATGAAAAACTTAAATAATTATAAAATTTGAACTTACATGATTTACACAGTTGGAAATATTTGGTGATGGAGCCTTCGGTGGGAATACCCATCCATTTGATGCGTTACAGCCGCCACTCGTTCGGGCAAATGTTATGGTCTCCAATTCCATAGTACTGTTGGCCGAGTTGTTGTCATTGCCATCGGTCATAGCAGTGCTGTTGGTAAAGATTTGTTCATGAGTTTCATGGTAGTGGTTATTATCCGAACTGTTGCTTCGACTTTGGCGTCCGTGTTGCTGTGACTCAATGCTGACAGCTGTGGTTGTAATTGATTCATCTCGTTTCCGCAATTTACTACGAACAATACGCATTGTCATTAGTGTTCCAGTATTACCAACCATATTTTTAAATTATTTATAAGTAATTATTGAAATGTGTTTATAAGTAGGATTTATGTTTGTATAAGTATATTTTCAATTGATATGTATTGCTTTGCTTATTTCCTTTTGTGTACGACAGATTGATATGTGGATGTACGTTAGAGTATATAAATATTTAAAAATATATCACAGTAGAAAATAATTTATATAAATATTAGTTTTAATTTTTCTTTTGCTTCGTTTTTCAGTATCTATACATTGTACGAAATTCGTTGAGCTGTTTAATATTGACGGCTAGCAACTAGCAACGATAACAGTAGGTAAACTACAGTAGATGGTGCTCTTTTGACAAAATATAAAATTTGACTAGAATATTTATCGATTTTCTAAACAAAAAAGTATTTTTTAGTTGTTGTTCACTTGAATTAGTATGGTTCGTAACTAAATGTGAGTGGCGTGTTCACGGTCGGTCGGTTTAATTTTCTGGATGACGAATGCGGCCAAAGGGGGTTGGAAAAATAATGTTGTATAATTAAATTCGTATCCAAAGCAAAAAAATTAATTTTTATTGCAGTAATTGCTAGCTGTATGCCACAAGGTAGTACATTTGACTGATTAATAGCGTGCGACCAATTTTGAAAGGCTAAGGTCGATAGATAATTGTCACTGCTCAGCTTGTAAATATATTTTCTTTTTAAAGTATTTTCACTTTGAAATTAAATGAAACATTTGTGTATTATCTTATTTTTTATTAATACAGTTTTTTTATTTTTAACCATACAGTCTGAATCACAAATAGTTACGTTCGCAATTTTTTAAATTATTTTATTTGTTTCATTCCGCCTTTTATATTTTAAACCGCACCGCTCGCTTTCATCAGAGTATCTGAGAGTCAATCGCATTATTAACGACCCTTTTATACTAGAACTGATATTGTATTTATTTTGTCTCTTTAACTCACACATGCACATTATCAACTGTTCGTCCATACTCATTTCTGTTTTTTGTTTTATTTGAAAGCAGGGATGGTAAAATGTATGACAACTAAATATATTCCAATTAAAAATTTCAATAATTTTGTTCATAAACTTTGCTATATAAAACAAATTAAAAGAATATTTATTCCATATTCTTCTACACATGTCGAGAGAAAATGTTTGCATCAAAATGTTATACAACTTAAGAAAACTTTCATTATCAACATGAAGTAGAATTTTTTTAGAAAGCTGAGAGTCAAAAAGTACCTAATCTATATAATTTAGTTTGCTTTAGAAATACCCGATTTTCCATCCCTGTGCAAGATACTACGCAGAGTGAAAATACTCTTACGTCACATACAAGTACAAAGAATAATTCAATAAAGGAGCGCAGAAAAACATACAATACCATGAAACAGCTGCCTAGCAACAAAGACATGCGCCGACTAAAATTAACGTCAGCGGCGGCTTAAAATCGGTTAAGTTTCCGACAAAATATTTTTTAAATAACTGGACTTCAATTAGCAGTTGTAACGAAAAAAAAGTACTCTATAGTTTTAAAATATGCAAAAGTAGCAACTCATTTACTATTTATTACATTAGCTACCTCACATTTTGTAGTATCAAAAAAGAAAGAAATGTAAATGAAGTTTAAAATTCTTTCGACGAAAAGTACCAATTGTCACATTTCACTAGTAATATTGTTGTATATACAACTACCTGGTTACCTCCGGCATATAAAGTGTTTAATATTTGTACACTATATTTCACCAATAGTACACATTAAATCATTTCAAACGAATTAGGCAGAAATGAATTTGTAAAAATTAGTTGAAATTCGTTTTTAATTCAAATTAATCCTTACCCCAAGGAAAATTAGGCAAAAAAATGAGCAATCTGTGGAATTTCAGATAGCTAAATAAAAATGGGCACATATGTAGCTTCCCCTTAGCATAATTAGTAAGAAATTAAAAGTCACCGAAAATATGTTATGCGCTTTGCGAGATATTGGAGTTCAAAGGTTACAAAAATTCGTTTTTGTCGAATAACTTGCTTAATATGTTAAAAATTCCGTAGCAAACCTTTTATTTTCCTGCAATTATTTCCAACTCGTTTGAATTGAATCAATTTTGAATTCATTCAAAATTCAAGGACAGATCTAAGTAAAAATTAAAATATTCGGTACAAAATTTGAAAAGCCGTGTCCTGTTTTGAATCACTGCCTGTTCAAAGAAAATATATAGTGTTTGGAATTCAATAATCCACTTACAATTCTGCCGCTAGCTAACAATTCCAGTATATCATGGGAATTACAAATCTAAGAATTTTTTATCTTTGACCTATACCACCGTGAAACAGTCATTTCCACACATGAAAAAATATATGTATGTGTACAGGAAACTGTAGACCATTGGTATTAACTCTGTGTACACAGTTTTTCATAATCAGCTCTTATGCCCCTGTAAAAGGACCTTAAATTTTAAAGGACATACGATTTCAAAAGATGGAATTCCAAATTTATATAAAAAAGTTGGTATTAATATTAATATCAAATGAAGCTGAGTACCTTTGCTTCAACATAATATTATTTATTTCAATTCAACAGGATTAAAAAATAAATGCTAGCTTAAAGAAAATTTGTCACATAAAAATAGTTAAAATTTTTTGTTTCGAAAATGAGACCTTTTATAAAAAAGAAATTCTTTTTCGATTTTTTGTCTAAGTGAATCAAGTAAATAATATACATAGGTAGAATCTGTACATTCATTTGATACCAATATTAGCATCATACAACACATATAAATATTTAAAATATTCGTTTGAAATCGTAAGTCCTTTAAAATCAGATTATAAATATCGGAGTAGGCTTAATTGCTATAAATGAACTCTAGTTTCATATGCATATCAACTTTTCTATGTGTGAAAGCTTTTTCTCAAAATTATTACAGGGTGTACTAAGTACATGCAAAACGAGTTGAATCACAAAATGACAGTGATGCTTACTGTAGAATCTATATATTGAATATCTTCAGGTTCAATATCAATATTTTTGACATTGAAATTCATATGAACAATTTGGGACAAAAATAGACGCATAAACAATAGGAGTTGTGGTACCTCCCATATGAATTAAATACAAAAATTCGTATATCTGGGAAACTATAAGAGTCGTCAATTTTTTTCACGAACAATCTACATGAAAAATTGGGTAATAAATTGGTAGATTAACAATAGAAGTCGT